TTAACAGTTTATTGGCAGCCATTTTATCTGAGTCGTGCGTATGCATGTATAAGGGCATTGTGCTTGGGAGAACATGATCCTTCGGGCTTCTACTTGGTAGACATTAAGCAACATCTTTAATTCGTTAAATCTTAAAGCTGGTAACCATGGAGATGATTCTAGAAAAGCTGGTTGTCGCTCGATGGCCGTGTCCTTCATATACCTTGTTCAATGAAGCCATAAACCGGGATTTTCTAAACTCTCCCTGAACGGGAACGCATATGAAGAACACGCAAACGCTAATTGGTTCACGTGACATGTACCGCCCTTGTCATTGCCACGCAGTGTTGGGTGCGATCCTTGTAAAAAGAAACTAATTACAATTACAAGTATTCCATCCAAAATGTAATTAGTTACCAGTAGAATTACTTCTCACCAAAAGTAGCTAATTACAAGTAGAAGTTACTTTTCTAGTTACTTTTCCTGAGCAAAAATTCAGATCTTTCTAAGCTTCTCTACTTCTTTGACAGAAGCTGGATTGAAAGCAAACGTTACCCCTGTTTCAAGAAAATTTAATTGTGATTATCACCGAACTGGATAAATATTCATGCTCACTCTTTTCCCTATGCCTCTTCCCTTCCCATGGGCTACTTAACAGGAATTATATGCTGATAGTCAGAATGCACCCTTTATTTAAAAAAATGCCAATTTGCCATTGGTGATGGGAAGACCTAGCCCAACCTGCCCCCCCCCCCCCCATCAAGAGACCCAGATAGAGAAATTGAAAAAATCGAAGTCATGTTCTCTTGTTTCCCCTTAACCAGACATAGACTGCACAAATATAGCCCATACAGCGATTGAAAGTGAATTTTCACTAACTTTTTACTATGTACATGATATTTTTATGGCGCAATCAAGGAGAGGAGGGTGTTTCGACCATTAAATATGGGGACTAGTGTCTGAGGTGTTTATGTTACAAGTGGTACAAATTCACTTGCAAATCACTCTGTTAAGTTAGGTTCCACAATTAGGCTTAACACTCGCTCTTCCAAGAATTAACAGTCTAACTAATGATGTATTGTTGGGAGGGTGATAAAACCGTGCACTTGAAATATGGGGAGGCATCCACCGAGCCTTAAGGGGATCGGACGAAATTGAGGAGAGGTGCCAACGTTAAGCATACGGAAGGTTTCCGTGCAGAGGTACGATCAGAACCAAAGTAACGCCTATCATTAAGACCCAACGTTAGACTAAAGGTTGTCTGAATGAAGCCAGGACACGATGGAGCTCATCTAGACATGCTTTCTCGAATCAATGTTGAAGTTCGCGAGATGGAAAGTACCTTGGTCGTCAGTAAACATAAAGGGCACTTCACGCCTAAGTTTACATCGATGGAACTCTCGAATTCGTTCCTAACCTCCTGCACTTCGAAATATTTTTGCAGGTACGGCCAATAAACCTGCGTTGAAAAAACCATGCTTTCTCATGTCAATATCATGTCCCCGCCTTTCCTCCCTATTTTGCATCAATTAGGACGCATGTAGTCATGAAGTGCTGGTTGTTTTCATCAAGAAAAGGAACGCAATACAGTAACGCCACATACTTTTCCCATGAAAAAGGAACTAGTTACCAGTTCCGTTACCCTCCCCTGAAAAGTAACTCGTTACCAAAAAAGTTACTGAAAAAAGTAATTAGTTACTGTAACGCGTTACTTTTACTCCGTTACCGCCCAACACTGTTGCCACGTGCACTTGCTCTTCGAGTCATTAACAGCTTCAGCTCATCACATTTTTCTGGCATACGAAGTAATAATGAATTCTCCTTCAATCGCATATCGATGAGAACCGGACAGTATTGGCAAGTGCCAGTATGACTCAATTTTCGTCAATATACGCAATGCCAAAAGCAGGCCGTAGAATCATTCCATGCTGACTGACAGGATTATGACGAGGTTTAACGTCCGAGCATCTCAGGAGAAAATGGGAAAATTTTATTAACAACTAGCAGGCTCCCAGAAAAAAAAACTCCATAACGTAAGATGCTGAATCTCTGCTGATTGGTTCAAGGTATGCGAACTCTCAAAGTTTTGGTTTCCGGACACATTCTTTTCATAAACTCTAGAACTAATTTTGCTCTAAGTATATTTTATAGCTCATACGAAAATGATAGCTCATACGAGTTGAAAAAATGAAAATATTACGACAGAAATGAGTCTTTTAGAGACACGTAATTACATAGATATGGCCATTTGAAAGATGCGATTCTTCATCCGAATGCTGGCCAACCAAACTGTGACTCCAAAAAGTATGGCGGGAAGGAAAGAAGCTTCCAGGATCTGAAAGAATAGCGGGATCTTCGTCAAGGGCATGGTCCTGCTGAAACCTTCAGAGTAGACTGATCTTTTTAGGAATCCCACTTGAGCAACGATGAGAAAAGAATGAAGAAAGGGTGTAAGGCTGTCGGATGACTGTGTCCACAACCTAAGTCCCTCTCGCATCCAAGCTATAGCATGTTCCATTAACTGGAGAAGGCTCGCGCTAATGCTGCAAAATGCAACCAGGGCCAAGTGTACCGCGGAAGTGGATATGATGATGTTCATAACAGCCGATCTCAAACCATTCGCCTTAGAGAAATGTTATCTGATGGGATCCGTGCCTGAAATATCATAGTCACTGGCTCGATAAGAAAAAGAGTGGAGAAAGAGGAAATGCCTCTTAACTGAGAGAATTCGTTGGGAAAGCTAGTAATTAAGTGTGTTGCTATCCGAGCCTGGGTATGTAAACCAGAACCAATTGTGGACCATGAAGTCAGATCATGAACAGTTGTGGACCATGAAAAGTCAAGATTAGCAAGAAGAATATAGGAAAGGGAAGGAAATATTTAAAAATTGATTTACAGTATGAAGACCAAGAGCTGAGGAGACAGGCAAGTAACATGGTGATTAGAAGAGGCGGTGGCAATGCCACCTTTACAGGAGTAGCACAACCATACTAGGAGGAATGAGATCTAAGTTCCAGTGGTTCTCAACCTTCTCTTCGCAACGGCACCCTTTTCACACAGCGAGATGTCGGTGGCACCCCTGCACATCGGCGAACTTCCATGCACGATAACATATAAGTCTAACAAGGACCTCGTAAATCGTTCACGGCAGGTCTTTTTTGAATTGTCACTTGGCGAAACCATCATTTCAAAATAAGTATTCAAACTCTTCCTTTTTCTTCACTCCAATGCAATACCTGCGCCTGCCTTTGGTTGCCCAGAAAATCAAGATGCGGCTCAAAATTAGAAGTGACCTCGCGCAGTTCAATTGTAATACTTAGACGGGATCTCAACTATTTTTGTTTTTTCTTAATACCCAGAATAAGAGAAGGTAGACATACATATCTGGAAGCAAAAAGCAATATGTATTTTTATAGCAGCAACAATATTGACTAACATTCCTTCTTAATAGATGCTCTCTTAGTAAAAGTGCAATCGAACTTTACAGTTGTCTACAGAGTTCTTTATAGTGTAGTAAACAGAATAACTCATCTATGATCTTATAGAAGATTCCTAATGAATGTCTAAAGAATTCTATTGAGATTGCGGAACTATTTCGCTCGGAGAGGTTTATTCTGTTTCGCTTTCACTCTAGTTCTTCCTGGAAGACGGAGCCGGTCTTCCAAAGATGACTGCGTTTTATGTGTACCATTTTTAGTTTTAGGAATTCCGCAAAATGCAGGCCCGAGACAGGTTGGTCATAACGTGCAGAGGAATTATGAAGGGCATTAGAGAGCATCTCGTCCACCTCTTCATGGATGGAAAAGAACAAAGAAAGAGGGATTGATGCCATAATGATAATCTCTCCTTGACGCCATCTCCTAGATAACACTGGTGTCGAGGGTCGAGATTCACATCTTTTACAATTTTGATACATTTCATCCATTACTATATGCAATGATTCATTGAATCCTCTGACTGCACAGAAGCCTACCCACGCACTGGCCTAGTTGGAAATCGAAGACAGAATGTTAACTACAGATAAAGCTGCTATTTATAATTTTGAAAGCAAGTTACATGAATATATCCAGTTTGGTAAATGTGTTGTAATGAAGCAAGATCTGGATAAGAAAAGTGAGCAATTTCATGAATGCCACGGCTGTTTGAGTTCTGGGGTGCACCATTTCGTCAGATGAAAATAGTCTCCCTCAATTTCATAGCACTTGAAAGGCCAATATAGGCGCGCTCGGAGTACGTTATTGGGGTGTGATTATTGAGGCGAAAATGGAATGTCAAGAATGGGAAGAGGGAGAGAAAGGGGATCCATCAGGGAGAGACGTCAACGTGAGAGCACTGACCAATCACTATAGAGACCGAACTATGTCGTTATTTCGACACAGGGATGCCGTTAAAAACAGCAATGTCACATTTTTTCGAAAAAGCCCCTCTTTGAAATTCATTTGGAGTGTTCGACAGTGAAGGGAGGTGCAATTTTGTTATTATATTACAACAATTCTTTCCTCTCCTTCCTAGCCTTTACAATTTTAAGTTCATAGCTGCTTAATGATAGCAGCTATGAACTTTACATATTTATCCACAAGTCATTAAAAAATAAAAACAGCGCATTTGTCGCAATGAAAAATATAACGTTCTGCGAAACGCCATCGTTCATTACGACATAACGAACGCCCAATATCAATGCCTTTATAATTGAATATATAATTGAATTGAGGAGACCACGCTCAAATTGAAGAATGGCACAAAGTGATCCATTTCAGAACGTGATTTTTGGACCAATCCATACTCGACCAGGATTAAAGTTCTCCTTCCTGCCTGGAGTTTACTTCCATCATTGCACGAGCCATTCACGTTTCTCTTCCAAAAGACCTTGCATATGAATTAATTTTGATTCTTTGAAATGTTACTCTTCTTCGAAGTTTTCCTCCGTCACATCCCATGGATACGTAGGAAGCCTCAGTTGCGTCATCACTGCAGCTCCTAGTAGGAAGGAAACTCTCATTTCTTTGATGATAAGGCTGCCACGATATGCATGACCTACAACATATATATGTCTCACCCAGAAGGGTACTGCACTTTGACATGCGAAGTGAAGTCTCCAACTCGTCGATTTTGAGCAGTGAGTTATCACCTTTCTATCGACTATCAGGTAAGTTGGGATTTTTGGCTGAGCATGTAGAAGGAAACGGGTCGAAAAGGAGAAGTTTGGCGGAGCAAGGGTCGCAATCTAAGGTCCATCCCCATGAGAGCAAGGACGTAATTAAGCCGGACGGCGATGTGTCGGTGTAAATTAATTCCATTTACATCGTCCTAGCAACAAGCTCTGATGGCCACGTTCAATCGATAAAGCGCCGCACTTCCATGTCTAGGCTCTCATTTAAACGTGCCTCTAATTTAGGGTGCCTTTATTCGAAAGTAAAAACGAGGTTTTTCGCTCATTCTTTCCGTGTGAGACAATAGCAGGCCGGCAGCACAGATGCATCTTTAACGCTTGCGGGAATGTTACTGTTTCAAGTTTCACCAAATATTCTACTATAACTAGCAAATCTGGCCAAACGATAAATTTCCTATAAAATGAATGTGAAACAGCTATCATAGCGGATGGTCGTTGGACCATCGGACTCAACGACCCAACTTCTCTCTTCCAACCTCATGATGCGTATACGTATATAAGGTGTCTGGGTCCAGTGGCGTAGCGAGCGGGGGGGGGGGGGGGGGGGGGGGGGGGGNGGGGGGGGGGGGGGGGGGGGGGGGGGGGGGGGCTTCAGCCCCTCCCCCTCTCCCCCAATCTTGGTTCAAGCCAAGACTGGTCTAAATGCATCCAACACGCCAACCCCCCCTCCCTCCCCCCCCCGACTAGGAGAAATAATGGAAATTCTAATTAATGGAAAGTCCCCCCATTGGCGAAATTCTGGCTACGCCACTGTCTGGGTCGCAATTCAACCACGAGTTTTCATCTTCATTCCAATTCCCTAAAAAAAAAAATTTGAATTAAAATGAAATGTCAACACGTTCATTTTTATTCCGATTGCCTCCCATCTTTCCTCCTCCATCCGCCCTCGTCCTCCTCCTCCAACCCTTTCTCTTTGAACGGACGTGCATGTGAAGATTGAAAATTAAAAAATATATATTTTGTCATGCAACCTCAGTCAATGAAACCTTTCCAAATTGAGATGTCAGTGTGTCAGAGCATTCTCGTGTCTGCTGCTGCTTCCCGTTTCCTGTCATTATTTCCTGCCTACATCGTCTATGAGGAAAATGTGGCTTGAAAGGACGTCCGGTATTAGGCTGGACCCCTCTCCGCTCCCCAAGCTTTTTCGTTTTTCTTACTCCCAATGGAGGTTTATTCACGCTGCAGCACAACTGAATCGTTATCTTCCAGACAGAACTCTCGTCCTTTTTCCTCAGTGGAAGAGAACTTTTGCTGTCATTGTTGCTAAATCCTCTTATTTAAAAGGCTTTTTTTTCAACTTTTACGAAGCGATGCTCCTCGGTCATTAAATAAAAAAGGCATCGAAAAGCGGCATTAGGCGAAGACGAATAGATGCACTGCCATGTGCTTCTATGGACTACCCTTGCATTGACCAAACCTTTTGTGGCGAAACTGAATGGAGTAGGTCAACAATTGGCATTGACAAAAGACGAAGACGAGAAAAACTTCTTTTCTTCACCCGCAGATACAAAGGAGAGGCTGCAAGCCAAGCGTCATGAGGAGTCTTCGAGGAAACGTAGAGTTGAGGTATTAAAAAAATGTATTTATACGACTTCGAAAACGACAAATGATTAGTAGATGAAATATCAGGATCTCCCTGATGGAAAGGCGAGGTGGGGCATGGCATAAATGTCATGGAGTATTTCGTCAATAGACGCTTTTGGTTACTTCACTGAAATAAACCTTTATGAAAGCCTTCCAAGTGAATTAGCTTCTTTTTTTTTACGTCAACTCTCCAACAGGTGCAAGATGAAGATGAGAGAGCTGAGTCGATTGCTGGTGTTCATGGTCTCGTTGATGACGGCTTGGGGGACGGAGGAATCGTCCAGGAGAGGGGAACTTGACTTGGCCAGAAGACAAATGGCCCTGCTTCGACGTCTTTACGAGAGGAATCCGGAACTCGTCCGACAGTTTCTCGCCGGTCCGCGACGATTCTACGGCCTTCGACAACTCATCACGAACCCGGAATTCAACCCCTATGGCGAGCAATGGTGGGAACTCCTGAACGACGATCCCTCCTTCTCTCCTGACGATTTCCGTAAGTCGAAATGAGGGATCCCAAGTCACATTCTGTGGATTACTAGATATGGAGTCCGTCGGAGTCGTCTCTAATCCAGGTTTCATGGCGGGAATATAAAGTGCCCTTTAATGAGCTCACGGAAGCACTAGAATTTATTAAATGGCAGGGATACTGCCGGGGAAAATGACCATGTTTGTGAATGTTATGAAGGGCAAGGGAGGTCAAGCAAGCGCTTGTTTGCCCTCGGACATGGATGTATTGACTCGATTCATCTCCCCCACAGTTGGTTTTGCTAAATTTCCCTCTCTGTGAGGAGATAAATGAATTCCCCCCTCCCTTCCCCCTTCATTGGCTCTCTTGTAGCATTGCTCGTGGACGGTCGTGGCTTCCACGAGTCGATCTTCGACGAAGGATTCGGGAGCTTCAGCCCGACGGCGAGACTCAAGAGAGAAGTTGCCGACGCTGAGAACGGGCATCTGATGAAAAAGAGATCTTCTGCTTCGAGATTGGGATACCTCCCACCGAGAATCTACTGGCCGGTTCGAGGGAAAAGGGGGAAGAGAAGCGCCGAAGATCCGCAGCTCGATTCCCTCATCCAGTCCCTCGAAGAAGATAGGGACGAGAAGGAGAAGCGATTCGGAGGGAATGCTTTCCATGGAACGAACGCGTTCACCGGCGGATTCGGTGAATTCGCGACCATGAAGAAACGATTCGGCGGGAATGCTTTCCACGGCACCAATGCATTCACAGGTGGATTTGGGGATTTCAGCACCATGAAGAAACGATTCGGCGGGAATGCGTTCCACGGCACCAATGCATTCACAGGAGGATTTGGGGATTTCAGCACCATGAAGAAACGATTCGGCGGGAATGCTTTCCACGACACCAATGCATTCACGGGAGGGTTTGGGGATTTCAGCACCATGAAACGGGCCGAGAATGAAGAGAATCCCTCAAACAAATAATGACTGCACCCTGCATTGCCAGTGAAGTCATCTTGACGCATGTTGATTTATGTCATATATCTTGTGCGGAATTGGAAAAGGTCTCTTTATGCTCGTGACTACTGATCCCCAATGCAGCTTCTTCGGCCTTCTCGCAAATTACTGTCTCAGATGAATGATTATGGAATAAATTATATCCACAGATGAGAGTTGAACATGATTCCAAGAGGAGAGGAAATGGGGTCATCGTGACATAATCGAGGCAGGGATGTCAAGGGCGACTATCTCGCAATTTCTTGGAGAAAATACTTACGTTTGCCGACCAAAATCCATGGAAATAAAAAGCAATTCGATTCAATTCATTTTTTTTTTTAGGTAGCTCGCATCCTCAATCACGATCGATAAATGGGTGTCTCTTGGGAATTACCAGATTGGGTCACATTCACATTCTTAATCCAGTTCACCATCCGAAGTCCCATCAAAGGGAAAGCCTCCATAAACCTTAATGGAAGAAAAGTCCCATTCCAAAGTGGAGAGGGAAAGAGAGAGAGAGAGAGAAAGAGAGAGAGAGAAAGAGAGAGAGAGAGAGAAAGAGAGAGAGAGAGAGAAAGAGAGAGAGAGAAAGAGAGAGAGAGAGAGAANGTTCGTTATGTCGTAATGAACGATGGCGTTTCGCAGAACGTTATATTTTTCATTGCGACAAATGCGCTGTTTTTATTTTTTAATGACTTGTGGATAAATATGTAAAGTTCATAGCTGCTATCATTAAGCAGCTATGAACTTAAAATTGTAAAGGCTAGGAAGGAGAGAGAGAGAGAGAGAGAGAGAAAGAGAGAGAGAGAGAGAAAGAGAGAGAGAGAGGTGATCTAAATTATAGACACAATGAATTCTAACCATCGACGTACGATCGATTGACAGAGAAACAGGAGAAGGAAAGTCCCCTTAGCTTGTACTACGTATTTGCTGAGGAATCCGACACGAGAATGTAAGACATCTCATCTCGTTTCTCAGGTTCATTCGCGTTCCATCTCGAATACATCGCCTCAAACTTTCTGCAGAGGCCTGATCTGCCAGAGGCACATGAGAACTACAAACGACGGTCAAGAGATGCTCAGATAAGAATGTAATCGTCGTCGGAACGGCGTGGAGGAGGACCCACGTCAGAGATAATACAATACTCCCGGCGGTTAAGAATCACCTTGGATATTCGAGATTAGATCCAGCCTCCGAAATACGAGTTCCTTTCCTATGGAAAGGAACTCGGAATGATCCGCCTATCCCGGATCGTGCAACGCCACTCTTGAATCCCGACACTCGATTCATCCCACGTGAAGGGACATCATGCGATCACCTTATTTTAGCTTTTTGATTAGGATGTGACAGCGATGATCTACGCATATTTCAAGTTGGGAATGAATGACAAAGCCGATACAGTCAACTCTCGTCAATCCAGATTCGAGGGGACTGATGACTTTGTCCGATTAACGACTCGTCCGGATAATCGAGGGAACGAGTGACCATTTTCCTTTTCCTGGAGAAGGAAACTGCACCTCTAACGTGCAAAAAAAGGGCCTTAATTTTCATGCATGGAAATTGGAAAACTTGAATTCTGTGCTTTTGATCAGTCGCATAGAAGAAATTCTTAATTTTCTTTGCTTCGATCTTCATGGATCTTCAAAGAGAGGGACACAACGTATCATGTCTTTGGCTATCAAGTCCGGATAAACGAAAAATAAGGAATAATGACGTCCGGATTAAAAGGATAATTTTTTAAATTGTTTCTATGGGACTTATGCCGGGAATATTCCAGATGTTGCATTACCGGATTACCGGATTACCGGCATTCGGATTAACGAGAGTTGACTGTAGCTGTGAAGAGCGAATGCCAGGATCACCCGCCCAAGGGATCGCACAGAACAGGAGATTCAAGAACGGTCATACAGAACCCGAATCCGTATCCTCCAACTGCGTATGAAAAGTGAGAGAATACTTAAAGCTTGTGACGCTTCCATGGGGCCAGTGGTGGATCCAGGAGGTTGAGGAGGGAGGGGGGGGACGACCGCCGCTCTCCAATGGCCAGGTTCGCAAGCTATGATTAAATACAGTATTTAAAAAAGTACTCAAATATATTTTGGTTGCGGCCTATATACTGGATCTCTAGGTTTTATTGAGGATGAAAAATTTAAAAGACGATAGAACGGTGGGGAGTGGTAGTTGGTGGGGGGAAGGGAGGGAGGGGGGAGGGGAGGGGGGGGGGGGGGGGGGGGACGACGACAAGTAGGGAAGCGCCCTCCCCCCATGAATGATATCTATATCCGCTACTGCATGGAGCATGGAAGCCATACATGGGTCTTCTGTCCCTTGGGCAAGCTTGGGATGTGCTTGTGTCAGCGGGAAATTGATGCCTTTCGATGAGAAATGATCATCTTAGAGATGTCCCCCAGCCCGAACATGTCGTGATATCGTTATATTTCGATATATTTCGCTCGCGATATTTAGCGCTAGTGGTTCGTCTACGGCAGGGGTGTGAAACATACGGCCCGCGGAGGTGGTTCATCCGGCCCGCCGTCTGTTCTTGAAATTTGCGCTTGGATTGACTGTCAGCACAAATTTCGGTGAAAAAAGTATGGGTGTGGCCCACAGGCATCTGCAGGGTAAGGAATGCGGCCCGACAACCGATTTGAGTTTGACACCCCTGGTCTACGGAGAGGGGGTAGGCAGGGGAGGAGGGCACTGCCTACCCCCTCTCCAAAGACAAACCACTAGCGCTAAATATCACGAGCCGCCATTGATTACAAGGTTCACGAAATGCTGTAAGAAAGAATTTATCTGAGAATTCCGTGAGATCCATGATGTCCACGATCTTTTTTGTTTTTGTGAGTTTTTGTTTTGTGTTCGGGGGTTTGTGGCATTCAAGGGAAAATCCTAGTTGGATACAGAATTTCGATAAACCGTTAGCGATATCGTCTCGAAATGCTTCCATCGTGTCGCTTCCAAATAGAGATATTCCATAGCACCTGGTTTTGCTGCCTCTGCTTCCATCAGTTTCTTTACTCAGAAACGGAATCATGACACCCGGAGGAAATACAATTTTGTATTTTAGTCGAACCATTGTTAAAATAAAGCAGTCGATATACAAAGCGTTCTCGAACGGAAGGCAATTAGCAATGAAAAGTTTGAACTTTCGTTGGGGGGATGTGGTGGCACTGGTTCCCCGGACAACTTCTTGCACTTGTAGATGGATCCTGGTCCCTTTTTTTCTGCCCATGTGGCGCAAGGACACCCGGACGCCACTAGGCACCTCGACGGCTTGCTCGTACGGCGCATTCCGGAAGAACGGTCGTCAAGAGTTAGCGAAATGACGGGAACGGAAAGTTGATCGCGTACGAAAGCGGCCGGGGCTTCACATCCATTCCAGTACTCTGCAACAACTTCCCGTTCCCATCCTACGGATGGGATTATGCGAGACCTCTGATGACTCCTGTGGGAGTCCCCAAAAACACATACAGTGAAAGCCCGATATAACGCAGCTCATTATATCGCGGATTCGGATATACCGCGGGTCAAGTCATGTCCACCGAAAAAAAAAGAAGTTAACCTCATATTGCTCGGTTTTACATCGTCGAGGAGAGAGGTATAGGTCAAGGCATTCTATTTTATGACATGATCTTAGGAGGGCATCCCTCGTGATATGCTGAAGGAAGGGTGCAGTCACTTGGAGCAAGGGGTTTTCCCCTACTTGTTATGCGATATTGCCATATTTCGTTACCCCGTCTGTGCTCTGTCTTCACTGGTTTAAGCTTAATACTGTAATGCATGTTGTTCGCAACGATGGATAACGCTGTGACTAATACACGGGAAATACCCTCTCTTTCGCACTCCCGTGTCACAAGATAAAGCAATTACACTGTAGTTCTCTAGTTGGCGCCGCGGTCCATTCGAGGGTCCGTGGTTTTAAAGTACTGCACCTATTGATAAATACACGTCTTGTGTCATTTTTGCAACTATGTATCTTACAAGTTAGTTACGCGGTCGGGCTTTTGCCACTTTAAACGGTGCTACACCGTAAAGACAGTTCAGCGACCTTCCAGAGTGCATTTTCCATTATACGTTATTCATGTCCCCCGACGCCTGCGTTATATCGGGCTTTCACTGTAATTACAGTGGTCGTCAAAATTAACGTACCAGGGTTATCTCGAAAGATAAGGAACCTACACGGCTCAAACGTTTTGCATAGGACAGCTCCCCATGAGTGCTGATCCTAAAAAGAATGGGTGATTCTAGTTCGTTACATCCCCGTTATGGAGCTGTTTTTCATCGGCGTGAGGAAAAATGCTACTTCCAGTGAAGAATCCCTACGAGATTAATTTCATGTCGCTCGTCCCTTGCGTCCGAAGCTCTCTTCTGCGCCATCGCAAAGTACAAAATGATCTCAAAGCCAGCGAAGGCCGGTTGGCTTAAAATATATCGAGAGACGGGAATGGTGGAAGGAAAAGAGTGATCGCTCGGACTGTCAAACACCTGGGTAAGGTGCATGCTTGGGGCTGCCTCTATGCTGGAGGGATTGGGAACATCTGCACCTTCACCCAGAACCTGGATGCGCATCTGCTGAAGACCATTTATGAGCATGCCCTCTTGCCTTCTGCAGCCACTATGTTTCCCGATTCAATGAAGACTTGGGTGCTGCAGGAGGACAATGATCCAAAGCACACCTCAAAGCAGGCGACCAACTGGAGGGATGAGAATGGGGTGTTCCATTTGGACTGGCCGTCGCAGTCTCCCTACCTCAACCCCATAAAGAATGTGTGGGCTCTCTTGAAGGTCAAAGTGGCGCATCGGCGCCTCAGAACGATCAAGACTTTAAGAGTGGAGGAGTGGGAGAATCTGAGTGAAGAATTTGCCAAAAAATTGGCAGACTCGATGCCGGACCGATTACGTGCTGTAGTCGAAGCGCAGGGCGATTATATTCTGTTTTGAGATTAGGGCTCTGTATGTACTTTCTGTTGATATAAAAGGTTTTC